CATACAACAGACAGTACTATTATATTTATATAGAAGTAGTTACATGGACATACAACAGACAGTACTATTATGTTTATATAGATTTAACAAAATAATACATTTATAAGGTTTCGATAAGGTTTTGCAATCATTAGGTTCCCATTCAAGACGTCATCGAACCGTATTTTCTCAAAGTGCGTTTCTCGTCATAAAATGTTTGTTGATTAGACTCTTGGGTTGGGGTTAGAGTGTCAGCTAGTGTTTTATTAATACTTAATGAAGGTTATCATAACGAGAAAAAAATCACTTGGTTGTTAAACGAGAAAAACTAAATGAATGTGAAACGTGAGGTTGGAAAACAACATAAAATTAAGTTATTCGTTATGTTTGAAGGTTAAGATAACTTTACTAAAAATCTCGTTTGTCCAGACGTCAATACCAGAAGGTCAGACGTGGAGTTATCCGTGCTCAGGCCAACTGGAGAATGCTTCGACAGAAACGGGAATATGACAAGGTGAGTTTTTACAAGTTCAGAGTAATAAGCTGATTCGACTTGATACTTTCAAAATTAAGATAATAATGTATATAAATGTACACCTATTAATATGGTGATTGGTGTTTCGGGCGTGGCCAGTTGGTTAGCTTACCGAACTATGAATCCCTGTTTCTTCTAAATACGTCACTTTGTGTCATAGAGAGACGAGCAAGTCTCACTATTGGCTCGTGTTCCTGTTGACTGGTCCTCCTTCCTTTAGTCTATCAGTTCACAATTAAAGTCCACTAGTGCGCGAGTATTCGAATAGTATCAGACCATTTTTTATTCATCTAAAGTTTGTAATTTTTTTGCTTGTATCCCTCACCACATACTTGTTGAGGTGTTATGTTTATCAGTGTTCTGGTGTAATGTTTCGACATTGTTATAATGTGAAGGTGTGTAGTCTCACTTTCTGGTTGTAAATCGTATAGTAAATATCCGGTTGTATACTAACCCTAATCTTAGTTTGAAGTATTGACACGTTAGGGCATGTAATAACATATAGATCACTTTATTTACGTTCAGGCACGAGTAATAAAACATGATTAAACTTTGACAGGAACGTACCGTGAGCTATCTTGTATGTTTAGATTCTATATATATATGAAAAACGTAATCTGTCAGTATTGGCTTTCAACGATCTGATACATTAAAACTATTTTCAGAGTAGGTTTTTTTTTTTTTAAGATTAAAGCAATCTTGGAGAGGAAGAAAGAAGCAGACCGGCTTGCAATGGAAAGGGCTAAAGAGCGTGCTGCTCGTGAGGAGAAGGAACGTGCATCTCGTGCTGTAGCTGGTGTTAATCATCTCGAGATACCTGCTGAATTAGCATTCATATTCAGTAAACTTGACGGTAGGTTTGAGCTTCGTACGGACTGTGCTACCGTATTATACGTACATGTTTTTCTTTCTTAAGGTTTGTTTTTATGAATACGATAAAGACGTGTTTAATTCCCGACAATGTGTAGTGTGACGTAATCGTCCTTTTTTTTTGTTCTTCCTTTCTATTAGAGTGGCAGTGTACTCACACTGATCGTAACGTCATCAAGGCTGTTGGTCAGATTCCACCACCGACGATGTCACAGTTGCGCCTGCCCCGTGATATTGACCAATACGCCTTCACCAAATTCACCAATATCTACTTCAAGGCTCACATCTGGGGGATGAAGAGGGAACCAATCAAAACATCGTTCCTGGCGAAAACAAAAGAAAGTGATTATCAGGACTCTCTCGCTATCTTCAAACTGGTAAGATAACTTCAACCAGGATCGGTTCACGTAAAGCTGTTAAACAGTTAACAAATAACTTCAACCAGGATCGGTTCACGTAAAGCTGTTAAACAGTTAACAAATAACTTCAACCAGGATCGGTTCACGTAAAGCTGTTAAACAGTTAACAAATAACTTCAACCAGGATCGGTTCACGTAAAGCTGTTAAACATTTAACAAATAACTTCAACCAGAATCGGTTCACGTAAAGCTGTTAAACAGTTAACAAATAACTTCAACCAGAATCGGTTCACGTAAAGCTGTTAAACAGTTATCTTCAACCAGAATCGGTTCACGCAAAGCTGTTAAACAGTTATCTTCAACCAGAATCGGTTCACGCAAATCTGTTAAACTGTTATCTTCAACCAGAATCGGTTCACGCAAATCTGTTAAACTGTTATCTTCAACCAGAATCGGTTCACGCAAATCTGTTAAACAGTTAAAGATTTGAAGCTTTGTCCAAGATACATGTGACATGTTAAAATTTGAGTATCACTTAGAGTGTAATTATAATCACATTTATTGTTTAGGAGCTTTCTAAGTTTACACAGTATTGCTGTTGAGATGTTCTTGTTCGTGGTGTATCTCTAAAAATTTGAGGTAGAAATTTTACGATAATTTTGATCATGTATCCAGATTCTAAGATTCATGAACGACAACAACCTGAGTGGGAAGAAGGAGCGGGCCCTTGCGGACTATGTAGTTCAGAAGGGACTGATAAACGAGATTATGAGAGACGAGATCCTGTGTCAGCTGTGTAACCAAACCTGGAAGAATGAAAACGAGGCAAACAACGAACGTGGCTGGCTGCTTATGTCCAATTGTTTGAGCTGTTTCCCGCCAAGTAAAACTTTGTACAAGTACCTACTGAAGTAAGCAAGCAAGGCTTCTGTCTCAGCATGATTAGTTTGTGATTCTCAAATGTAACAGTCGGGCTGTCGTTCGAACATTCTGTACTGATTTCTTGTTCTGGTGTTAATACTTGTGTAAAATTCGTTTTTATTAAGTGTTTTTCGTGTAATTTAACAAATATAGCTCTTTGGTGGTGGGAGTTGATTAAAAATTATTATACAAGTCAGTCAATCGGTGTTTTAGCCTTGTCAATTAAATAGAGCAATAGCAAATTTTTGAGGATTAATTTTAAATTGAATTAAAAAATATAATGAGTGTATTTAGTATGATAAACATAATTTAACAACGTTGTTTTACGTTTTCTCAGGTATGTGTCACTGTCTGATAAACATAATTAAATAACGTTGTTTTACGTTTCCTCAGGTATGTGTCACTGTCTGATAAACATAATTTAACAACGTTGTTTACGTTTCCTCAGGTACGTGTCACTGTCTGATAAACATAATTTAACAACGTTGTTTTACGTTTCCTCAGGTATGTGTCACTGT